TCTTGTTACACTGATTACAGTAAAGCCATCGAAAATAATATGATATACAGTACAGTACAAGTACATGGGTCTCTGTGTTTCATTCAAGCTCGGCTCTCTGTGTGTGGCACGAGCGCATTTTGTCAGTGCGCGAGCGGTAACGTGGAATATTGTTGTTAGCATCTGGTTAGCTAGCTATGCTAACGGATATAAAGAGCTGTTTTCTACACCAAAGGTGGAGGAGAGTCCTCTCTGTCAGACTGAGAGGATCTTATAACGTCAGCTCAGTGAGGTAAGGACTCTCTCAGTGTTTAGATAGTTCACTTTAGTGTAGGTTATCTCAGTGGGTCTCAAACGGTTTGGTCACCATTTATGTAAACAAGTATTTGCGAGGAATAGGGCTTACCTTTATATGATCATTATAGTTATTAAAGAATAAGAGAATAAATGAAAAACGGGTATGAAATACTATAGGACAATAACACAAGAATACCATTTAAAAGGGGAGTGATTAGTAAAATATCCATAAAGAAAAAGTAAATCTGTTACAGTTGTGTTTCATATGGATGTGAGAGATGTAGACTATCCATAGATCTCTTCATTTTGCTCTCAAAGTGCACCAGATTGATGCTTTTAACTTCAATATTTTAAAAATAATCTTCCCGGGGGAGCTTGCCCCCAGACCCTCCTAGAGGAGGTTAGGTCCACCCCCCACCTAAAACATGTTCACATGGATAGGATACTAAATACATTTGCACACTTTCATATGGTGGCCTATGTCCATATGTTTCTGTTTTGGTGATCGTTGCCACAGCCGTGCATGTATGCACAAGTCATAGGTGCCGCTATACAATAGCACTACACCCTGCAATGTGTGTGAAAGACAATAGACTTTACAGAATGTTTTTTTAAATTGAAGTTGCGTTGGTGTTGTGTGTTGGTTGTTGACGGCAGTGTGTGCCCCCCCTTGGTAAATGATTGCCCCCCCATTTGATTTGTTCTAGAGCCGACCCTGGGCCTACATCATCAGCTACCATGTCTGACAGAGAGGAAGACAGTGAGGAGAACAGTCAGGAGGGTAGTGATGACAGCTTGTAGGATTACTGGTCGTGCTCATGTTGTCTTGTGTTCACCTCTGCATGTGTGTTCTGTGTTCACCTCTGCATGTGTGTTCAGTGCCGTGTGTCTGGCAAATAAAGTCAAGACCCCCTCAAAAGTTACGGTTTATTTCATTTTAAGGATGAGCACCAAGCAACATCTCCAGGTGCTCCTTTGAGAACCAAGGCAAAAAAGTTATGTGCACCCCTGGTTATTATGTAATACACTTTAGAAAAGCACATACTTGTATTGGTGTAATGAGTATTGTATATGGAGAACCAAAGGAATACAAGTATGAACCCTTGAACCTTGATATGTCTGTGACAGCCAGTTAAAGTAGGTGTCGAATTGGGAAAGCCTTGATTTTCTTTGAGATCTGTTTCAATCAAGATATTAACTTTACAATCCTTTAAAATCCATTTAAAAATGTCCGTAGCTTTTTTTATCGGCTCACTGGTCCCAGTGAGCTTCCTGTCAGATTCACACTTGATCCGT